CCCCCCCTGGATCCGCCCTTGCTTCACTGCCGAGTTCATCTGAGACTGAAAGATGAGACGGGAACAATCCTCAAAACACTACAGACGATGTGCACCAAACTCCTTCACAGGAAGTTGGATTTGGAAGAAAAACTGTTCATGCGGCTGTATTTAATGCCGATGTCCTGCTTGCCATATGGCGTTTTCAACCCTATAAAGTCCTAAAATAGAGCCCTCCAGCCACTCAAGCCATTTACGAGCGGTCTTTTCTAAAAATAGTGTAGCCGTTCACCAGTTTTCTGCATTTGTTGCATGAGGGTGGGCTTGCAACATCTTTCACCGACCAATTGAACGATTTCGCCGGTTGTTCATCCAGATCTAAGTCGTCTCGCCTTGGACTAAACAAGTCTTACATAACTTCCGAAGGAGTGCGATTAGCATAGGTGTTCTTGTGCCGACCCGACCGATTTGGTACCAGATTGCACCAAGGTGAAAACGTTATGGTTGCCACTTGAGTTATTTTAAGACATGAAGTCAGCCTATAGTAGCATCCCCAGGCCGTTGACCGTTGAAACTTTGAGTTGTTTAAATTCAATTCAGCAACATAGTTGGTTGGTTCAGCGTGGCGTTTCATTCCCCAATTGCGTTTGCGCTTTCCCCAACCACCCCCACAGTGTACGCACCACTTTTCATCCCTTCGCTTAGTCATCATGGCATTCATTCGTGGTCCGTTACGAGCGCGAACTCGTCTATTCAGTTTCCCCCCAGTTCAATCAAGCCACGACGGACGTTCTCGTGTCGTCCTTTTTCTCTCTGTACCAGCTTGATGTAGGAAAGAACAAAAAACAACGAAAACATTAGGCACGGGTGACTAGACGAGGAAACATTTTAATCACGGCCTGCCTTGGTCGGTTAGTTTGAGGTTGGCGGGTCCGCTCGCGCCGTTTGCTGTTTTCTGTTTTGTCGCCTCTTTTGTTCGATAACGTGGCTCGAATAGCAAATTTAATAACAAACGCATTGTTTTTCATTAAATTACGTAAAATTCCCCGCACTGCAGACAAAGAGAAAGGAAACACGTAACGTGTTTGCTGAATGAAATGCCACCAGTTGGTGCATGAGCGCAAATTTGTCGTGGGTTGATTCAGCAGCAGTTTTGTCCAATTACAAGGAAAACTGCTCTGTACAGTGGCAGCCAGATAAAACACTTCCGGTTCGTGTTTCGTCGCTTACTCAGTGCTGAATCCACATTGATAACGTTGAATGACAATGACCTGTGCCTTCTGCTGATGCCATTATTCACTGCTTGAATCTCACGCAACTCAGGTTTACTGCTCGAAAAAACTTTCTTGGCCTAAGTGTTTTCTGTGTTTGTTCAACAACAGCAACAAACTGGTTTTAAAAGGTAATATTTAGTGGTATTTTTTGCAGCCGGATCAGGATGCCTCCAAATCAAGATCAACACAGTTTAAAACAGCGATAAATTGTGCCAATCTCTTTGTCTTTTAAAACTTCCATGCGTACAAGTGAAAGAGCAGATACACTCAACTTGTCAATGTGACAGTGATGGGTGTTTTCAGGTTAATGGTTGTCAAAATTGGTGGGGTTCCTGTCTCTGTCTGCCTAACTTATAACGTCGTTTCTCTCTATTCGACCCTATTACTTCCATATCTGGACAAAGTTCAGTATTCTTCCCAACACCGATAGGAAGTGAAACAGTCATTGTCGACTGCTGATTCATCAATAGCATATTAATTGAATAAACTATTAAAGCCGACTCAAATCGGTTGGCTGCTGTTGAATTATTCAAGTGAGCGGCGTCATTCTATCCAAATCCCTTCTCCATCTTGTTGACCATTCCAGGCTTTATTTGCGACAGAAGTTTCACTGGAAACTAGCCCCGTTTTACGGCGGCACTGCAGTTTCGAAGATTAACTTTCTTGTTTTCGACGTGTCTTTTTCGGGGAAGTTTCCGGCTGCGAGCCAAAAGTTTCCCTTTATTGTCGACCTGAAGCTGCATGAAGTCAGTAGAACGGAATGTGGAACTTTAACGGCAAATGCAGTTGTTTGACTGGTTTTCGATGGGTTTTTGTTTAGCAGATTGATGAAATCTCCTAGTCCGAAAGCCGATAAAAGTAGTCAATGAGCGCGGAGTTCAACCAATGTAAAAGTCTAAAACTGATTGTCAAGCAAAGAAACAGCTTCCGGTGATTTACTTTCGTGCAGTTTTTCCTTTTGCCAAAAGCGACGACTTGAAAAGGCCTCGAATGGGCAAAGAGAACGGTGTTAATGAATGTTAATGAATTCCAATCATTCTGGCTGTTTTGGTAAAGAAAGTACGTGCATTTACGTGGTTTTGAAGAGAATTGACGACGTTAGGAAGCAATTACACCAATTAATTACCGACGTCCCACCACATGGGCGGCAATCATTCATTATGCAACTTATTGTCGGAACGAGGATGATTCATACGCGGCACTTTTATTTGGTAAACTAACGAAGCCCCAGCTTATGAGGCATCGAGCGGAAAATTGCTTCATTTGTGTGTGAAAATTACTCGTTACCAACCAAGCAGGCTTTCATTTCAACCCATCACCACTGAATTCCTGCATATTTTGCCACTAACTCATTCAAACATTGCGAATTGAATCCGATTTTGATAAGGAAGAATGAAGATTCGAACCTACCTCAACATCTGTAGATAATTCGTTTTTATTTTTTGGGTCAATATTGGTGCAAGATTTCGTTAAAGGACTGTTTGTCGTTCGGATTAGAAGAAATTCTTATCTGGGGTCTAATTAATAATGGTGTTTTTCGCTTTGAATGTGTGTATTTAGTGAGTTGAGTTTACTTGGTTTCAATCGGGCCACTAATGGATTTTGGAGGAATTTTCAGTTTCACATTCTGTTTTTTTTTCAATCAGTCCGGAATTCAAAAAAGTGTGTCTCCAAGACTAGTAAAGACGGAAGCGCGATTTTCCGCTTGAATATGAGGAAGAGTCCTGTTCAGATGCTTGTTTGGTTTGGTTTCAAACGGGCTACTAAGAGGCTTTTGAGAAATTTTGAAAGTTTCAACTTGATTCTTAAAGTTCGGTCCGTAATTAAAACGTCATTGCAAAACTAGAAGTGACAGAAGTGCGATTTTTTGCCTCAACATGAGGAAGGGCCCTATTAAGATGCTGGTTGAGTTTGGCTTCAATTGGGCCATTAACCGATTTTTCAGAAATTTTCAAAATTTCAAGTTGAGTTTTTTGTGCTTCAACCTGGAACTAAAATTTTGTCGCTCCCAAACTACAAGAGATGTAGGGCGTGTTTTGTCCTCAACATGAGGAAGAGTCTTGTTAAGTTGTTCAGCGAGTTTGGCTTCAGTTTAACAGTTTTTTGAGAATTTTTCAAAATTTCGTCGCCCCCAAACTGAAAGAGATACAAGCGCGATTTTTTCCCTCCACTTGAGGAAGAGTCGCATTAAAATTATCAGTGAGTGGTTTAATCAAATTCACAATTTTTTGCCATTTTTTCGCTTCCCATCATCATCCAAAATCCACTTGAGTTTGATTCGATCGATTGGCGTTTCGCGTCGCATTTAGCGATGGTGCCAATAAACCTGCAAACAAATATTTAACATCTAAATAATACACGAAAATACGATCCCATCGTCTATTTGTCCAAACGTTTATTGGTCCAATTAGGCTCCATGTCTAAGTGGTGTTTATTAAACTTTTTCTTTGAAACAACTCTCGAACGTTCATTTGCTTGTTTAATCGTTCGGAGAGTGTGCATTTGTGCAATAAATGACTCCTCTACGGCTTGATTCACCTACTTATCCGCAACGCAATTACTACAGTTTTATTTATTTCTCCTATCTCCAGATATCTATAAACAAATAAGTCGTTGATACGAGATTTCTGGTTCAGTTTCGTTCAGCTCGATTATAATTCGACGTGGATGAATCTTGCTGTCCAAAAACACTCCATCCACTTAGTCCGCGTTAATAATACATGTGTGTCTTTGTGTGTGATGGTGTGATTGACGAACAAAACTATGAGTTTCGCCGGTTTTAGACGATTTTTCAGCTTTCGGTTGTGGAAAAGCGAGAGCAACATCCGTAGGCGGTCCTCAACTCGTTGCTCAATCAAAAAAGGTAGCTTTAGTGTTGAATTGAACTGGCGGCAGGACTTATTACTATTGATTGACCCTCGTAGGTCAATCGTATAATTGTGCTTTGGTCAAGAGCGAGACCAACATAGCGGTTGGCATGGAGACCATCGTGTCCTTGTTGAGTTTTGCCGATATACCAGAGCGGGCTGCTAAGTGTTGCCCCAATGAAACGTTGAGTTGGTTAAGGCTTGAACAGGCTGAGGATGCTAACCCTGCGTGCTGGCGAAACGTTTGGATGAAATTCCTATCGGGACAACGACATTATTGACTGTTCAAGCCTTTTTGCACTGTATTGATTAAGTGATTGAACTAGTGGGTTTTTTTGTTGTTGCAGGAGTACCAGGCCTGCCCACGTGTGCAGGAGTCACAATGCGAGAGAAGAAGAGCGGCGCCCTTTCACGGATGCAGAAGCTCAGGAAAAGGCTGTCCCACTCCTTCGGACGATTATGTAAGTGATAACTGATTTGTATTTGAGTTTATTGCGGTCATTTTGAAGTTGGAAAGAAACCCGCAGTTTGAACCACCCCAGAAAACTAACAGTTATATTTGCGCGTTGTATCATCACAGTCAAGTGAACTGCTGTGATAAGGCGTTTTCGATTTTGCCCCCCATTCCAGATCATCCGTTCCGACTGTTTATTTCATTTTCCATTTCCCGGCCTGACAGATTTTTCCAATTACCGCAAAGTATGATTTATGAGCTCTTAATATTCTCGTTCCTTATCTGGCGCCCTGATGTATCCAATTCGATATTAATGGACGCACTCTTCTAATGTGCCACCGATGACTCGAACCGTCTGTTGTTTGGAACTGCACACCAAACGCCAGTCTTTGAAGGTTTGAAGGGCCCCGATATGTTTGAGTAATGATTCTATTTCAAATGCGATCAGTTTTGAAGCACTGGGAGTCCGCCCTGTATGGCGTGGACCCAAAAGTATGTAATTTTCAACAAATAGCTGGAGATTATGTTTTATCGGAATGACAATGGAAGATAAGCGCTGTTGTGGGCTTTGAAGAGGGCGGCAACTAATCAGCAGAATAAGCTTTAGGGATTAGGAAAAATTCCCGTTTTTATATTTCACATTCACGTGGATCTGGTGGGGTTTTCATGTGGATCCAGTCTTTCACCAAACCGAACCGGTTTGTTCGTCGTCTGGCACACAACAGATCATCATTTCCTAATTGGACAAACCCCTCGTCAAATAACGGTCTAACGAGGGATAGTTCCGCTATTATTATTATAATTCCCCAACTCGATAGTCGGACAATTCCCTTACTAAACCGATTAAATTTCGTGGTAATCCGTTTATAATTCGCTGTTGTGATACCGATTAGATTCTGGTTATCGAACTATTGAAATTCGGCCCTAGTCAGCAAAAACACCATGGCTTAGTTTACCATAAAAACCGAAAATTTGGCTTTTGTCCCAACCGAAATTGATTTTTGGCATTTTTTTTTCAAAATGTTCGGTTTGGATTTAACCGCGCTTGTTCTTCTGTCTTTATCGGTAGGTTTCCACAAACCGAGCAGAAATAGAAAATTGGTTTTGGGTTCGTTGGATACAAGAGATTCAATTTCATCTATGTCTCGAAAATTTGGTTATTGACGCACATTAAATCGATTTTTGCGAATTTTTATCACTCTGTCTTAAGCAGTCGGATTCTTCAAACTTAACAGAGGTAGAGGCAAGAGCGGATCCAGGGGGGGAACATGGGGGTCGTGACCCTCC